TTACAACGTATTAAGTGATTCAAAATTGAAATACAACATGTAACCATATAATCTGTCTTATCTGAAAGTTAAGCTTTCAACAAAAAAAGTTTCTATCGAAATTTTATTATTATGGTACCAGGTGAATAGAGATGAAATAGTACAGAAAAATAGAGTTTTATTTTCTCTGTCATTTCATATAAAAAGAAAATTTTCTCAAGCCTTCTATACGACAATAATGTACCTCCGCCACTACTTTTGGGTACCCCTAAGTATATAGGATGATAGAGAATTTCAAGCTCTATCAGAATATCTATTTATTTCTGTAAATATTTATTTCAATAATAATAATAATAATAATTTCAAAGTTTATAAAAGTAGTCAATTTGATTTCCTGTCAACTGAGGGTATATCTAATGTATTCAACTTTTGTTTACAACAAACACAAGTAGGATAAAAGATAACTATACAGGGTGCTAGAGAATTTCGAGCTCTATCAAAATATAAGGGATGTTTAATAAATAACGGCCCCATTTGTATGAAGCAAGACTTTTAAAAATGGGGCCGTTGCTTATGAAACACCCTTTATGTATGATAGCAGAACAGTAGGACGAGAGAAAAGAAAAGTACCAACTATAAGTGACTCACACGACAACATTTATGAATGAATTTCAACAGATGTAAAAGAAGTTAGTACGCTCAAGAGCCTTCTGAATTTTTTTCCACCATATTGTGGTGACTAAGCTGTATCATGACTCATGCTCATGCCACATCACCCACCGAATGACTCAGCTCCCTATACTTTCTGACTGCGCTCTATAAATTTACCTGTTCTTTTCATTTTTACCACATACAATATAGGAAGTAAAATATGCTTCGCATCCAACAACAAGCAAGCCTATCGGTGTTGTTGAAAGAGTCGGTTCCTCTCAAACAAATTCATGTTGACGCACGTCTTCGTTCATTTGCTGCCGATGTAACACTGACGCAAGTATTTCAAAATGATGAATCTGTGCCGATCGAAGCTGTCTACTGGTAAAAAAACGCGTATCTAATATTTGTCATTTTTTTAATATTGCCAATCTCACTAGTTTTCCTGTGGAAGAGAATGCCGCTATTTATGCATTTATTGCATGCATAGACAATGAGCGAGAAATTGTTGCTGAACTCAAGGAAAAGAAGACAGCACAGAAAGAATACACAGAAGCTCTCGCACAAGGACACGGCGCATATCTATTTGAGCAAGATGAAGCTTCAAATGATATATTCGTTGTCAGCATTGGAGCGTATGTCATTCATTTGTTGGTTCTACTATCTGTCGTAGTTCACTTTCATTATTTTCTTTGTAGGCTACAACCCGGGAGTGAATGCCGCATTACCATTAGTTATGTGAGCGAACTTGATCTGTTACATTGTGATGAGAAACCAACTATTCGCTTTGTTATTCCTACGACAATTGCGCCACGTTACTCACCAGCAGAAAGAGGTATCGCCTCACCTGGTGGAACGCAAGCGAACTATGTTCAATCAGCTCCATACACGATCAAGTTCGATTGTCAAGTTGACAAACTCGATCAGCATGTCGCCTGTATCTCATCACCTTCACATCCGATTATGGTTGATTTTAACGATGAAGATTTTTTTCTTGTGACATTGAGTAAACAAGATACCCAACTTGAGTAAATGATTCATAGTCTTTCATCAGTCGATGAGACTGAATCCTTTGTGCTTTTTGAAATCCATTTTTGAAATCTTTTGTTTTCATGTTTTAGTCGTGATATCATTATCGATATTGAGCTATCAAAAACTCGAACAAATACAATTGTAGCCATTGAGAAAAGTGCTCTTATGGTCTCATTTATGCCGAACGAAGAAGATTGTCAACGAGGTTCGAATAATGCGATGAATGAATTTCTTTTCGTGATTGACTGTAGTGGTTCAATGAAGGATGACAACAAAATTGGCTTGGCACGCAAAGCTATGCTTCTCTTTCTAAAAGGTCTCCCAGTCAAATGTCACTTCAATATTATTCGTTTTGGATCTAACTTTTTACCTCTATTCGGTGATCAAGTAACACGAGAGTACAACGAGATGAATACGAGTCAAGCAGAAGCCTTGATACAAGGCATGGAAGCTGATCTGGGTGGTACAGAACTATTAGAACCACTACGATGGCTTAAGAAAAACCACCCACCCGTAGGTTGTGTCAGACAAGTTTTTTTGTTGACCGATGGAGAAGTGTCGAATGTCGATCAAGTGATCAACCTATGCCATGAAATGGCCTCAAGTACACGCATCTTTTCATTTGGCCTCGGTCATTCGGCAAGTACTTTATAGATACAAGATGAACTAATGAGCTTTGTTTTTGTCTATTGTAGCCAAGCCGAGCCCTTGTCAAAGGCCTAGCACATGTCACAAACGGTCGCTTTACCTTCATCGCCCCGCATACAAGCGTCGACATCCATGTGGCTGAACAGCTCGCTCGTGCCCTTCAACCAAGCATCAGAAATGTGCATGCTAAATGGAACACCAATCAGCCAATCCTTTACAGTGTACCCAAACATGCACCACCCATTTTTATTCGTGATCGTCTGCTCTTCTATGCTCTACTTGATGAGTCGATACCATTTGACCATGAGACAACTGTCGAACTCTTGACAGATATGGATGAACAGCCACTTGGTGTGGCTCATGTTGACCACGTGCCACGAACACTGACTTTAAAAACTGTCGCGCGTCTGGCAGCGAAGACGCTTCTCCGAGAACTCTTACATGCTTCTGAGTCAATAGCTAGGGAGAATGTTGTTAAACTTTCACTCAAGTATGGCATCCTTTGTCCGTATACAGCCTTCATTGGTGTCGAACGACGACTTGGTGTCAACAGTGACAGCAATGCTGATATGAAACTCCAAGAGGTGCCGATCGTACTTGGTCCAATACGTTCGAGCACAACAAGGCAATTTTATGCATCATCAAACAGGTTTCCCCAACACTCACAGCCACTACAAGCGGATATTAATGCTGTTCATACTAGCATGCTAGACAACTTAGAACACGTGTTGGAGAGAGACATGAAACTTTCATTGCTAGAACAACAAGCCTGTTCACTTGAGTATTCTTCTAGTCAGTTTTGTGGCACGGCTATGCAGCTTAAACGAAGAAAGACATTCATGGGTAGTTTCGGCTCTGCTTTGCAATCTGCCGTCGGCTATGTTTCATCATTGTTCACCAAGAATAATGCTGGTTCACCTGCCTCCTCTCGTCCTAAAATGGCTACATATTCTCCCACTTCCAAGTCCTCATTTGTCTCCTCTGTAGCGCATCAAGAATCAGTTCAAATCAATACAGTAGCAACATCCGATTCTCAACTACAAAAACAATTGCAAATAGATTGGCCAACAGATGAACAAGAACTGATTTCCCGCTTTATTGAACTACAAAAATACGATGGACTATGGATATTGACAGATTCCGATATCAAGCAACTGACAGGTAAATCTCTAGCGGACTTCTCGTCGTTGACAGTTGATTCAATCGAAAACAGCTATCGAAATTCTGTAACAACAACAGTCTTGGTAATTGTCTTACTCGAGACACGATGTGCTTCAAATAAAACCCTTTGGCAGGCCCTATCAAATAAAGCTTGTACACGAATAAAAGCATTGCTTGGAGAAGACGAAACAAAACTACAACAGCTATTGAAACACATTCGAGATCAGCTGTTATCCGCATCAATTTAATTACTCCTTTTGTCAAATTACTTCTCACCTATCTGCGTTAGTTTGTCGTCAGCATAAGCATTCGTTCTGCTTGCCTATTATACTTTTTTTTTTCAAGACTCTCTTGCCTACTCTATACAACCGATCTGCTAATCAATAAATCGAAAGAGTACGAATGATTTTGCAAATTTCTTTTATTCAATACATATCGAGTCGGGGTCGTTCTTAAATTTAGTAATATTTTCAAAGAGTTGCTGTGAATACAGCTGTTTGTAGGTGTCGATATGAGTGAGTGCGCCCGAGGGCGCTTGTACACGTGAATGTAAGTTGGAGGCTAGTGCTCAATAAG